GGGAGACCCATGTGGAGAGGAACAGGCTCCCTGCCAACAGCTGGGCCCAACTTGCCAGCCCTGTGAATAAACCACCTGGGAAGTAGATCCTCCAGTCCCAGCCAGGACTTCAGATGATCGCAGCCTCCCGAGGGACCCTGAGCCGACTGCTCAAACTGCTCCCGAATTCCTAACCCACAGAAACCGTGACACGTAAACAATCATCTTAATCCATTACGTTTGGGGCAACTTGTTACCCTGCATCAGGTAACTAATACAGCCCCTCTCGCTCTGAGGATGTGTCCTCTCTCAGACTCTGGGTGTGGACGGGAAGGTTGTTCTGCCTTCCTCCCAGCCCCTGGCAGTGTTCCTCGACCATGGAATGGAGCCACATCTCATCATGTGGCCCTGGAACAGCACAAAATCAGACGCCCTCAGCAAACATATTTTTCTCCATTTTAATTAACACTTTACAAAGTATAAAATATACTGTCTTTTTGGGGGAACATTAGGTACTTTTTTCTCTCTGTCATACAGTACATAAATTTCGAGGGTTTCGTGTTTCATCAAGAAAGAAAGAAAGCGTGAGGGCCCCCCGCATGGTGTTGGGCTGCCCCCTTTTCCCCTCTCCAGACCTGGGGACAGATGTGCCACTGCTACTGCTGGTGACCTGGGGCAGGCCAGGTGAGGGCCAGACTCCCAAAGACGAGGCCCTGGGCAGGGCATAGCCCCCCAGGATCCCAGTGAAGCCCTAACATCCACTCACCCCATCTCAGGATAACGGAAATGATTTTGGCATAGAGCAGGAGGGGTCTTGGGATTTTGTGTGTTACTCGCCTACCCCAGTTTTGGAGCCAGTCCTGCTCAGTTCTTTCTGGACCATTTCCTGAATAGGTAAACTGAGGCAGGGGACAGGGACATTCACTGGGCTTGGCCTGTGACTTGGGACTTAAATTTGGCCTGTTTTGCATCCCCCCTTCCCACCCCTTCTCCAACTTTCCTGGACCCTCTTCAGGGACGAGCCCCAGTAGGCGAGGGGCCACCAGCACCCACAACCTCTCCCTGTGAACAGTGTCCTCAGGACTGGATGCTTCTGAAGAGCCGGCTCAGCAGGTCTAGCCCCTTTGGGCTGCATGGACTACCAGGCCTCACGGTGCACAGCAGAGCCCCTGCTGGGGACACCTCTGCCCCCTCCACAGAGCAGATTTACACAGTCAAGTGGGCTGGGGCAGTCCTGCATGCAAGGCCTGCCACACCACCATCAACTCCACATGTGGCCCCCTGGTAAGAGTGCTACCGAGGCCTCAAAATACTCGATGAGCCAGTCCCTCAGCTAGGATTTGGGCTCTGCACACGTGTGCTCGCACACACACTAATGTGGATGACACGGCACATGCTCACACTTACCTGTGTGTGTGAACACATGTGGGCCGTGCACAGAACACTGTCCTGACCCCAGGGCAGGGGCCACCTTGCACTCCTGACTCTCACAGCCTCCCACCTCCTTGAAGCAAGAGCCACAAACTCCCTCACCACCAGGCTGCCCACAGATGCCAGGGGCTGGGCCGCAGGCTCCTACCTCCACTCCAGCCACTCCTGGTGCCGCCTGCCTCGAGGCCAGAGGCTGCCTCAGCCACCAGCTCCTGCCTTTACCTTCCCAAGAGAGCAGGAGTCATAGGAGGGGTGGACATCAAAACTGAAGGTATGGAAAGGGGATGAGAAACAGTTAAGCTTGTCCTTTTGCTGCCTCTAATTTGAAAATGAAAGAAAGAAAAGAGCTGGATGAGCTCTGAGAGGTAGGAAAAGGTCTCTCCTACAGCAGGGCTCCATTCCCCTCAGGACAGCCCTGCCACTCTTCCCAAGCCTGCCCTCTGCTGGGCCGACCACCATACACCACCCTGGTTTCTCCCCTCCCAGGAGGCTTCTGTGAATGGAGGGCTGCTGCCCCTCCCTCAGCACAGTATCTAGGAACCTGAAAGGCCAAAGCTCATGTCTTTCCACTGCTGGGAGACTCCATCATCCGCCCCCAGGTTCCACTCACGAAGCCACACCAACTTCATTTCTCTGTGGATGTGACAACAGTGACTGGCTGCTCCCTGCCCTGGCATACAGTGTGCACAGATACATTGGGGGTGTTTCTTCCTACCCCTGCCCAGTGTCCACTCAGAGAGTGGAATCAAAAATTCCTCAGTCACGGGGCTGGAGTGCTCTGCTCTCATATGGGAGCTCCTCAAGCTCCCCTCTCTTAGCTGGGGCCGGCAAGGGCCCTACTTGTCTCCACATCCAGATCCAGAGGCTCAGAGAGGTGGCCCAGGGTAGCTGTGAGACTCCTAAAGGTCTTCCTGGGAAATACTCACAGGAGGGGCTGGTGGTGGGTGGGCAGGTTCATCTTTGATGATCAGGCAAATGGTGCCTTGGCGTGGGGTGGGGGCCTGGCCCTTCCTATCTCCCCAGAGCCTTCCCTCCTGACCTCCATGGCCTCCTCTGTCCCCTCAGAGGGGACAAACCCTACTACACCATGCATCTTCTTCTGGACACCACACTGGTTCCCGAGGCCATGCTGCCTTGTGGGGGAAGCGACAGTGGGCAGCTCTGGGTCACCTGGCTCCCTTCCTTCCCTCCAGGGGCCTGGGGCCTGGGGTTGGTGGGAGGGGGAGAATGCTGGTGCTTGGGGGGCTCTGGACCCCCTGAATCTTCGGGAGTAGAGTCCTGCACACCTCTCCATCTTGGATGAGTGCCCTGGGCCAAGGGCAGTGCATGGGCAGCACCTCTTGGGGGCTTTGGAGACCCCTGGGGAGGAAGGAGGTGCAGAGCTGGCACTGCCCATCTCTCTCGTGGGTCATGACTAGGGGCTGAGGAGAAAGGGGCTTTTTGGAATCAGAGGCGCCAATGCTGAGTGTTGAGCCAAAGTAGAGTTTTCTACTTGGTGGGGGAGGGAAAAGGGGTGGTCAGGGCTCCCCCTGCCCCTCACTCTCCTCTCCTGGAGCCCTCACCACTCTGGATGGGGCAGGGCGGGGCGAGGGTGGTGTAGAGGGTTTGAGCTTTTCTCACCAGGGAAAGGCACGGAGGCAAAGACACACATGGGAGCCCAGGTGGTGGCTCTGAGTGTCCGCTCACCCTACCTTTTGGCAGCCTGACCCAGGAGCCCCATTTCCCTCCTGTGCCACCTGCCTCCCCAGTCAGTGCCCGGAGATCCTCAGCCCCTGCGGGGCATCTTCCTCAGGCTGACTGTCTGGTGGGTCTGGGCCACGTCAGCCCCACTGAGCTTCACACCATCCCTCCAAGTGGAGCCTGGGGTCTGAAGACCCCCACACCCAGCAAACCTGGAGACGACAGGGAGCAGCTGGCTCCTGGTAAAACCACTCACTCTTCTCCCCAAATTGCTGTGGAGACCAAACCACTGACTCTGCTCCTCACGGGCACCTACAGACACTGAGAGGATGCGCCCAGCCTCTTCATACAGCAGGAGGACAGGGAATGTGAACATAACGCCCCCGGGTCACCTGCCAGGGCTGAAGAGCCAAGCCCTCAACCCAACCCCTCCCTGGACACATCAAGGGCACAGGTCCAGTCCCCTGGAGGAGACCTGGAAAAGAACCTGAGGTTTCTAAGTTTGCAGGTGAAAAAAAAAATCAAGTAAGCCATCAGCATGAAGACAGCCACGCGAGGAGGGGAGCAGACCCTGGATGGCAAGCCGGAGGGTGACCATCCCGCTGGCCCAGGACTTTGGGCTGACAGCACTCGGAAGGGGTGTGTTCTGTTCAAAAGCAAGAAATTCTGGCCACTCCTCCCTCTGGACCACTGCCCCCAGATAAAAGGGTGCTCAGGGCCCTTGGCCAAGGAAAAGGGGTGCAAGAAGGGGCTGAATCCACCTTTCCAGGGAAACTGGGGAAGGAGGGGATAGGGACCCTCGACCCCTGCCCTGGGGCTCAGCTCCTGGGCTGCTGGTTTTGTCTGTCTCTCAAGTCAGGGTGGAGGCAGCCAGCCGGCTTCTCTCATCATTGTATTGCCTATATACTTGAATTAAAAATATACGGTGGCTCAAAACGTGCCTGTGTGCACGGCAGACACAGACGGGTGGAGGAGCCCACACACACGCACACACACAGTGGGGTCTGTGTCCACATACTGCGCACACACGCATGTGCGTGCTCACACAGTATATATTAACATATATATTGCTCAAGTATATATGCTATTTACAGTATATATCTATATTCAACATAAAACACAGGTATTTATATGTGTGTACAAGAAATACGTCCTAGAGGGTCTGGGGAGGACGCGTTTCCGGGGTCACGCGGCCGACACACTTGCTCAGCAGGGAGGAATGGTGGAGAAGTCACAGATTTGGGGAACTGACAGAAAGGAATCTGGAGAGGTGCGTCACAGAAAGTCAAGGACTTTCAGGAACAGAAAGGGGACTCAGGGCTTCAAGGGCTGCCCTGCCCACTGGGCCACCCCAGTTTTGGAACCAGCAAACAATTGACATGTTTTGGTGGTTTTGGAGTTTTGTGCAAAATGAATTAACTTTAAAAAACAAAAAACTGGGTTCCTAATCAGTGCTCGGGCCCTGAGTATCTGCACGGACCCAGACACACAGCTCCTCCGTCTGGTGGGCTTCCAGGGCTCGGAGGGTCCCACACAGCTCAGAGAGGGGGGAGTGGCGATCACACAAGCCCTTCACCAGACCGAGAGAACGTCCCTTCTCCTCTGGGCTTCTCGGGCAAGCACAGTCAGCTGCTGCCTGAGAAAGGGCGCCAGGGAGGGCACGAGCCTCAGCAGGCCCCCAGGTCCTGCTTGTTCAGAAAGCAGCCCCCGCTGGGGAGGAGGCCCAGGGGCTCACCCCATTCTCCCTGGTCAGCCTCCACCCCCTGGCCGTCTACCTCCCCATGGCCCTTGGGTCTCCTCTGATGCTCAGATAGAATCACAGCTGCCTGGGCACCCGCCAGTGGGGCTGGCTGGGCAGCCCTGTGGAGGGTGCCCTGGGGACCCCCGTCTGGTAGCAGACATCTGCTCCCAGCTTCCTGCTCCTAAGAGACGGCCAAGACCCCCACAACAGCTCCTGATTCTCGCACTTGTCCCTGGAGCCACAGGGCACCAGCCAGGTGACGCTGAGCCTCTGGGGCCGCCTCACAGAACTCAGTAGGCCCCGACCCCTGAAAACGCTGCCCACTGCAGCCTGGGCACAAGTACATTAAATAAGAAACTAAAACAAGGTATGGTTTTCTCTATTAAGGCTCAGATAAGCTGCCTCCCAGGTCAAGTACTCATGAATGCCAGTCCCCAGACTGAGGGGCAGGCAGGCAGGTGAGTTGGGGGCAGAGGCCTTCCATGTCCCCTAAAAGTGGGGGAGGGGAGGAGGTGTGACAATGGGGGAGCCCTGTGCTGGTCAACTGCTGGGGAGGTGGGGGTGACCTAAGAAACCCCAGGCCCAGGACGCTGGGGATGCCCCCACTTGGGGGAAACTGAGGCTCTGCCTGCCGGAGTAGGGTCCAGGGAAACCAGAGGGGACAGGACTGCCCCAGGCTGGTGGGTCTCCTGGGACCCGCCTCCCCCTCCAGGAGTGAGCGCTTGTGGTGGGGACGGTCTGGACAGGGCCCCCTGGCAGTCTTGCTGGGAGTCAGGGCGCAGGCCCTGTGATTGGCAGGTGAGGTTCTGGGTGGCTCGGGTCCTCCCCAGCTCAGGACCCACCCAGGCTCCATCAGAGCCTCACCAGCACATGACCCAAGAGCCACCCACTGGCCTCCACTCTGTGGGAACCAGCCCCGAGCTGATGGAACCAGAGACCAGCGACCAGTGTCCAGCCCCTGCCCTCACGGGGGCCTTCCCAGGCTCCATGAACTCAGCCCTGCTCAGCAAGCCCCACAAGATGACAAGAGAACCAGTACCCCTGTGTCTTGTAGGAGGTGCCAGCTTCCTTCAGCATCTGCCCCCAGCTGTGGGCGAGGTGGGATGAGAAGGGGGGTCAGTTCATGAGCTCCCTGGGTCTCAGACATCATTTTCTGGGGTGGGGGTGGGAGGAGGAGACAGGGGGTTCTCTGGAGGGTCTGGGGGCTCCGGGAAGGCAGGAGGGCACCGGGAGGCCTTGGCGTGGGCCCCAGGCCTGGCGGGGTCAGCAATCCAGGGCATCTCCCAGAGGCTCCTTCTTTGGGAGCCCCGGGGTCAGTTTTCCAGTCTGTTGAGAAATACTGCAAGAATCATCTTCGGGGTGGGGGCCAGGCCAAGGCCTGGGGGGCAGAAGGGGAGGGCAGAAGAGGTCCTTCTAATGCTTCTCTGCTTGGCTGACTTTCAGGGCGCTGATGACACCGTTGATGTTTTCTTCCGGGACCTGCAAGGGGCAGGAGGTGGCGGACACCCGTCAGCCCCTGGAGGCAGCTTCCCAGCCCTGGGGACATGCTGGATACTCACCAGGGCATGGTCAAACTTGAACGTGCTGATGTAGTAGGCGGGGATGTCTGCGGCAGCCAAGGGCTCGGAGATCTGGGCCACGATGCCACACTCATCTGGGGACAGAGGCAGGGACCATGCTCAGACTCCTCGAGGCCCCGCCACCCAGGGTGCCCGCCACTGCACCCTTGGCCAGTGCACGCCCAGCCCTCCTTGGTTCCCAGCCTTTCCCCTCCTTCTGCTGGCAGTGCCTCCCTGCACCCACAATCTTCCCACAGAATTCCCACCCCTCCCCTCCACCCAGGAGCCTTCTCTGATCCCCTTGCCAGCTCTCTGTCCGCAGGCTCCACAGAACCCAGTTCTGTTCAACTCGGATCACCCTCTGCCTGTTTCTGTGCCTCGCAGACACGATCCACCTTCCCTGCCATCTTTCAAATTCTCTAAGACGGCGCTGGAGGCCGCGTGGGCAACGGGAAAACACGGGTTCAGGCCCTCTTTTCTGTTACCCTCTGACCCTTTTCTCGCCAGATGACTGTGGCCAAGACACTTCCTCTGAGCCTCGGTTTCCTCACTGGAGTCCCCAGCAGATAACGGCCTCTGCCCGTCCTAAAGGCAGTGTCATGCATTTGGGGGGGCCTGGAACGGGGCTTCCTTCTCCATCTAGACCTCTAAAGCAGTGTGCTTTCTGGCTCCCCCAAAACTTCAGCCAATAAAGTGGCCTTGGGGTTGCCTGGGGCTGGTCCTCCCCTCACTCCCAGCTTCCTCCCTGATGTGAAGGCACCATTTAAGGCTTCCTCCTACAGGAAGACCTCCAGGATCTGAGGACCACTCTTCTCCACCAACACAATCCCGTGGGTTGTTTCCCTCAAAGCCACTGTTCTGATTTCAGCGATGATGCATTTTGCCAACACTGTCCCTGACAGTGGGCGAGTCCAGCTCTGATCACCAGCTCCCCACGGGATTCTGAGGCTGCAGCCTGGGAATCAACCTGGACTCCACTCTTCCTCCACCCCCATCATCTCTACCCCCAGCATCCCCTCCTCTCCTTCAGTCTCCGACCCTGGTCCTGCTCTTATCAGCCCACCCCTGGACCCGTGCGGTGATCTTGCTTTCTGCTCCGTCTGCCGGGGTTCCTGGCTGGACCCGCGGCCCCTTTGGTGGCTGTGCAGGCCTTGTGCCTGCACTTCCGGTGACCGTCTGTGCTGCTATGTGGTGGAGACTGGTTGTGTCCTAAGATGCTTTAGCTAGACACAACTATTCCTATAAAAGGGGTGGGTCGGAGATGAGGGTCTAGAATGGTGACTTGCACACTGCGGGGTTGTGACCCATTAGTGACACGAATTTAGAAGGCTGGTGACTAGCCTTTAAAAATGGAAAGGAAATGCCATATGGCACAGCACAGGGCTAGAGTGAGTAGTTTTGTGAAACTGGAGTTTGAGTTGTCTTCGTATGTGTGTGGTGAGTGGTGACGTAAAACGTATTTCCTCCAAACCACGGTCAACAACACATGGAATCCACTGGTTTAGAATCTTTCAGATTCTCAACAAGTTCTTTCTCTTGCAGTGCTATTTATAGCGATCAGCATGGCTCTAAAACCCTCACTGTCCGGGCAGGCAGAGCCAGCTGTTGCCTGCTAGGCTGACAGTGGTGCTTCTTACACACGTTTCCCCTTGTCGCACGCCCGTGAGGCCACTCAGACATAGCAGCCCTACAGCAACGTGCCATGTTTGCCAACGGAGAGACGATTCGGCTTTCCTCTACTCACCCACCTGTATTTCCCCTTCATCTTGACTGTCTTGTTTTGTAATACAGTCATCCCCCCATATTTGCGGTGCACTTTCCGAAGTTTTAGTTACCCACGGTCAATCGAGATCCAAAAATATTAAGTGGAGAATTCCAGCAATAAACAATTCATAAGTTTTAAATTGTGCACCATTCTGAGTAGCGTGATGAGTAACTCTTGCTCCGGCCCGCTCCAGCCCGTGGATCCCTTTGTCCAGCGGATCCACACTGTACACGCTCCCCGCCCGTTAGTCACTTGGCAGCTGTCTCGGTTATCAGATCCACTGTCGCGGTATCGCGGTGCTGGTGTGCAAGTCGCCCTTATTTTACTCAATAATGGCCCCAAAGTGCAAGAGTAGTGATGCTGGCAATTCAGATATGCCAGAGAAGCCGTAAAGCGTGTCCTTTAAGTGAAAAGGTGAAAGTTCTCGACTTAATAAGGAAAGAAAAACATTATATACTGAGATTGGCAAGATCTACAGTAACTTCTATTACAGTATATTGCTATAATTGTTCTTTGTATTATTAGTGGATGTTGTGCATCTCTTACTGTGCCTAATTTATAAATTAAACTTTATCACTGGTATGTATGTGTAGGAAAACACACGGATGTATAGGGTTCGGTACTATCTGCGATTTCAGCATCCACTGGGGGTCTTGGAACGTATCCCTGAGGACAAGTGGGGACTAGTGTGTTGTTATACTGTGTGTATCTTGGTAAAAGCCCGGGATAAATAGATAAGCAGATATGCAAGTCTTTCTGCCTCTTGCCTGAGTCTCCTCCCAGCGACCCCTGGCTGCTCCCCTCGCCTGCCCAAGCTCTGCTGGTCCCCTCCACCTTCAGGAAGAAAAGGTGCGGGACCCCCTGGTCTGGCCTCAGGCCCCGCCCTCTGCCTGTGATGACCTTGACCTGGCCAGGTTCCTCGCTCACCATTTCTACCTTTGGACTCTGCACCCTGGGCCCAGCTGCCTGATGCCACCTGGTGCTATGGAGAGGCGCCACCATGTCACACCTCCCTCTGCTGGTACTGCCCTCTCCTCCCCATCAGCCAGGTGATGACATGTGACATCTGGTCCTGACATGTGACAGTGACAGTAACTGCTGCTTGCTGAGCACTCATTCTAACTGACACCTCACCAAGTGCTCAGACCTACCCTGAGGCAGCGTCTCATTGTCCTTATTTTACAGATTAGGAAACTGAGGCCCAGAGGTTAAGCAAGCTGCCCGAGGGCACACTGGTGTCCTTCAGCCTCCCTCACTGGCGAGCTCCTCCAGCCTAAGAGTCTCCACATCCCCCCAGCCTGCACAGGGCAGTGAATGTGGGCGGGCGAGATGCTACGCCCATGGAGAAGGAGGCTCTGAGACAGGCTGGGCCCCAGGGTCAGACCAGGAGCCTTCAGTGTACATTTCCTAGCACTCCAGAGGGAAGCCCACTGTCCTGCCCCCAGGAGGGCTCTGGCTTTGGGACATGAGCAGAGTTGGGGGCATGGTCTGGCCCTGCTAGTTACTGTCCATCTGCGAGCTTGTCCAGAGAAAGGCACAGCAGGCGGCAGAACCTGGCTCCCTGGCCGACCCCTAACCCCAGGTCAAAATGCCCTGCCATCTCCTTGTCCTGGCCCAGGGGCAGAGCCCCCAGAGCTGACCTGCCGGCCCCTGGAGCAGTCTGGGCTTCATCCGGAACATTCCGCGCTCTGTCTATGGGACACAGGGTTCACTGACCCCACTAGGGCTTGTTGAGGATGCTCCCCGGAAACAACCACCCTGTGATTTCCCAGGAGCCTCTTCTGGGTTTGAGCTCTTGGGTCTAACAAGTCTACCCTAAAGAAATCATTTCTAATCAGACAAAGCTCCATCCCCAGCGGCTCGCTGCAGTCACTCACAATGGGGCCCGCAGCCCACACCCGGCGCTAGAGACTGGGGCCACGTGGCCCCTCGAACTGCAGGGCCGAGACCTGGGGCCCTGGGGAAAATGCTTCTGGGAGAAAACTGTCTACCGAAGACACTGTCTGGACAGTCGTGGAACCCAGGGCAGGGCTGAGTCTCAGCGCATCATTGTGCACGTTCTCCTGTGCCATCAGGCCCTTGTGCTCACGGAGGAGAGCACACTTCTTCCCGCGGCAGAAAAGGCGAGGTTTCGGGTGAGGCGCTGGGATGTGGGAGTGTCACTGTGAGAGGTTCAGCCATCACACTGCTTCACGAGAAGGAGGCTCATTCGAGTCTCCACATTCAGAACAACCAGTCATGACAGTGAGCAGTGGGACTGAGGAATGTTTTCCTCTTCAATTTTTATCGTGCCCCCGATGCTCTAATAATCAGCCAGTACTAATCATCTAGTGCAGGGAAAATACGAGTGCTTTGCTTGAAGCTGCTCCTCCCTCCTCCGGAGGCCTGTGCCTCCTGTCACTCGCTGATCAAGGGACCGCGGGCAGTGGGGACCTCCGTCTCCTCATCTGTACCACGGGGTACAGGCGCACAGGCTGCGTGACCCGGGAGGATGGGGTGAGTGCATGTGCCGGCCCCTGCCCCCAGTGTTGAACCCCATGGGGCTCACCAAATCCCAGGGGCTGCCCTCCAATCCGCACCATCTTCCAGAGCTCTCCAGATGCACTCGTGAACAACAGATTACTAGGAAACCTGAAAAGGGAGCAAGAGAAAAATCCCAGAGGCCAATTGTGGTCCCTGGGCCAGCCCTCCCTGGAACCTTCCCTGCCCTTGGGGCACGGACGCAGGGCCAGAGCTGGGGGTGGCTGGCCAGCTAGACTCCACTGGCTACAGGGCAAGCCCCAGCTCAGGGGCCCAAGGACCCCTTTGGAGCCCTCGGCCACTCTCTCTGCACCCTCCTCATTGGGGGGTCGGGGGACCTGAAGGCAAGGCTGGGCCTGGGCTTTGGAACAATGTCCCCTTTGCTAAGGCTGTTCAAGAGGCCCCTGCCCAACTGCAGAGAGAGGGCGGAGAGACACACAGCACTCAGATGACCTGGGGCCTGCGTCTCTCTCAGCTGCCTGTCATCTGAGGCGAGGCCAGATCACCCCCGATGAAGGGCTGTGGTGAGCTCTGATTAGGGACAACGTGGGGGACGTGTGCATCAGGGAGCCAGCCCGCCCTGGGTCCAGGCTCCACCCCAGCCCGGCTCACCTCTGCTGGGTCTGCACGTCCATCACCAGGGAGATGTAGCCCTCAATGAGGGAGAAGGAGAAGAAGCGGATGTGCTCGCAGTCGTCGCCGGCAGCCATGGGGTCCTTCACTCTGGGCGCGGGGAGCTGGTGAGGCCCCCGCTGTACCCTGACCCCCACCCGGCCCCCCTGCTCTGCCCATTGGCCTCAGCATGAGGTGTCTGGCAGAGCACCAGCCCGGGAAAGCCAGGGCCAAGTCCTGGCTCTGATCCTGCCTTGCTGGGTGAGCCTGAGCCAGTGTTCCCTGCCCGAGTTGCCTCATCTATGAGATGTGGATGATTCCACGGCATTCACAGAGGTGAGCACCGCACTTCACAGTGCTGGAGACCCAGCCGGCCCTCAGTGCAGGCCACACTTGCCCCTTCCTGGGCAGGGTTTCTCTGTCCCTGTGTTGGCCCACGTCTCAGGGCAAAGTCTGTGGTCACTGCCTGCTTGGTGGCTCCTGGCCCCACCCCATTTGGTATTGGCCTAAACTTAAAATCTCCTCTGAAGAAAAATGCAAACCCTGTCAACCACCGAATGAAAAAACCCCGAGTTCCCGACTCTTCACCTGACTGGGCTTGCTCTCAGAGCTCAGGGGACAGCAGGTGTTTATGACAGCTACATGTGCATCGGGGGCTTCACCAACTTTTGGGGGTCCCCATCCCTGCAGAAAAGGATGTCTCCCCTCTCAGAATGGGGCTTTGGGGTAAAGCCATGTCTTCCCCCCT